AGTTCAGAGCACGTGTTCCCCATTTTCTATTTCTAAACCCCTCCATTCTTCCATTGGAACGGCTCAATCAATGAGGACAGGTAAATATCTCCCAACCAACGAATGTCCTGCTAATGCAACTGTGTTAAGGATCTATCTTTATCTCTTAGCATATGTATAAATGTGTGTGTGGTTGTGATGTTCCCCATTTTCTATTTCTAAACCCCTCCATTCTTCCATTGGAACGGCTCAATCAATGAGGACAGGTAAATATCTCCCAACCAACGAATGTCCTGCTAATGCAACTGTGTTAAGGATCTATCTTTATCTCTTAGCATATGTATAAATGTGTGTGTGGTTGTGTATTGTTTGAATGATATATATCCTCCAGTAAAAAGACATTATATTTTATTGAATACAGTCTCTGTGTCTGTTCTGATACTTACAGCAAAGGTGGGACTTCTGTATACATTGGTGTGAACCCTAACTTGTCTATTGCCAATTAATAATCTTAACCTCCCCTAGACTAATTGTTAATTCAAGGCAATTTGGCTAACAGGCGGTTGTCTGTCAGGTGCAGCAACAGTTGCAGGGTGCTTAAAGCCATGAGGGATCCCACCCCAGCAGTAACGCCTTAGTGATCCTGCCGGCCCTGCCTCCACAGTGACTTCTAATACTCCTCCCCCCTCCTCCTCCTACATTGGACTGGCAGCTGCCAGGAGGAGGCAACTTAGGAATGCGGCAAAGACATTTGCACATAGTACACCTGTGCAGCACTGACCTGCGCAGGCCAAGTACCAGCAAGATCATCCTGAGGTGCTCAGAACAACACAGTCTCCATATGAGCAACACAATCCAGGAACACAAGTAGGGAGGCCATCACTTTCGTGGAAGGTGGCAGGAGTTGACTTAACAGAAGACTGCTTCTAAAATGGACAGTTCTATGTTGCCTACTCCAGAGTGAGCTCATCAAGCAGCCTGGTAATCCTAGCACCTGAGGGCAGAACCACCAATGTGGTCTAGAGAGAGGTCCTTCAGTAGAGAAAAAAAGTACGTATGTCTCACTTCATTTTTTACACTACAGTCTTTTCCACTAAAATTCCTACAACAAATATCACATTTCAAACTTCACACCATCGGTATTATAACTGGATTTACGGAACTTAAATACTGTAGCAAAGCACAGGTATCAGGCTAGTATTTAATCAACCTACTTATTTTTCTCTAAACAGTCAGTGCTCCACTTCCTTTGCATATTTAAACTCGCCAACACTCCAGGCCTCAGAATAGGAGGGAAAGGATACTGCAGCACCTTCACCTGCTTCCCTTCTTTGGACAGCTATCTCCATCCCACCAGGCAGTCCTGTCCACACCTTTCCTCCCTGGCCTGTCCCTGGAGCTTTCCTTATGAACGATGTCTGCCTGCCTACCCCACCCCCTTTCCCCAGGGTCCAATCCCAGCCCTGCTCATCAGGTTCTACACCTGTTCTGGCCAATCTGGTGCCTTCCTGGCTGCTGCCTAATTCATAATCCCTCCCCCAAGCCCTGACTTCTCTTTTTCCTCCTATGGCTGAGTGCCTGTCTACACTCCCGCCTGCAACTTGTCCAGGTCTGTCCCTATCCTGTGTTTCTTATCTGGGCTGCTGATGCTGTTGGGTCAATGGCAAGGCTGCTGTCCTCCCTGGGGGTGGGGTCCACATCTCTGGTAGTATTGAGGCCTGCTGGGGTCTGCTGTTGGCTGTCCTCGGTGTCACCAGGCTGTCGCTGGCCAATGACATCATTGGCATTGTCAGGATGAACCTAGACTGACTCCTGCCTCAGCAGCTATGGACCCACTCACTTCTCCTTCAGGCAGCTGAACTGGCTGTACTCCTTCCAGCTTCAGGTGAGTGCCTGCCAGTCTGATCATCAGGTAAGGCCCCACCTTGGTCTGCTGGGGTCTGGGCAAGTCCTGGCTAGGCTCCACACAAGGCCAGTCTTCAAACCTGCCTGGAATGGCTTCAAGGAAGTAGCTGTTTTTCACTCCTGTGTTGGAGTTCTAAAGTTGGAGGGCCACAACTGAAAAACCTCTCCCTCGAGTTCCCAGGACCCAACTTCTGGTATGGCTGTTTCCTGGAGGAAGGCTCCCTGAGCTGCTTGTTATAATGCTGTACCTTTCAGGTACTGTGGGCCCAAGTCAAAATGAGCATGTTGTACTGAACTAAGAAATAGACTAGAAGTCAGTAACTAGAAGCTCTTCTCTTCCTGCCATGCAGGCTGCATGGCTTATAGCAGTGGTTCTCAGCCTTTTGTAATTTATATGCCACCAAACACTCTATCAAAGAACCTGAATCCCACCATGAAGAAGAAGATTTGGATTTATACCCTGCCCATCACTCAGAGTGGCTTACAATCTCTTTCCTTTCCTCTCCGCACAACAGACACCCTGTGAGGTAGGTAAGGCTAAGGGAGCTCTGAGAGAACTGCGACGGACGTAAGCTACATGTGAAGCAGCTACATGTGGAGGAGTGGGGAATCAAGCTACATGTGAAGCAGCTACACGTGGAGAAGTGGAGAATCAAACCTGGTTCTCCAGATTAGAATCCACCACTCTTAACCACTACATCAAACTGGCTCTCATGATAAAAAGAAAAAGTCCACTTTTTTTTTTGAAGGACATTTATATGTTTACAGGTATTTTGTCATTATATTTACCACTACAGGTGGACATGGGGATTGAGGGTGAGTGAGTTTTTAGTAACTGTTATGAAACATGGCATCCCTATGGTGATAAGCATACTACTGGTAGAGAACCACTGGTTTCTAGGACACGAGCAATAATCAGGTAGACTATGCAGCCTGAGGGGTCAGCTTCTTCTCCTTGTAAGTGTACGCCAGTCTCTGTCTGTCCAGCCTCAATGAAACAGAGATACAGTTGTTACACAATCCACATGTTTATTTATCAGGATCAGGCACAGAGTTCTGAAAGCAAGGTAGATCAATGGGGTTGCCAACTCTCTTATTCCAGCAAGACCCCTGTGCCTTTGAGAACTGTAGTGACAGACAGTAGAATCACAGATACAGCTGTTCCTATATGTGACAAATATGCTGGTCCAGCAGCTTGCAGTGGAGAAGGAGGCAGGGACAAGAATTGAGCTGACAGCCTCACAGCACAGCAGCAAGACAGATGCACACTGGTCACTGCAGGTGTTGGTTATATTGGAGGCTTGGCGGGGGATTGGCATCTCCACAAGCTGAAGGACTGCCTGCAAAGAGTTCAAGGAGACACAAGGACTATAATGAGTAATGTTCCACAGTAGCAGCTGCACAATTCTGTACATCATTTTCTTGCTGTTCCCCCAGCCCCTCCTCTATGGAGGTTTCCATGTTGTGGGATTCACCCCCTGACAAACATGGTGCATTCCTTGGAACCAATACTTACCCAACCCTATAGGCAGCTGCATCAGTACAATGCTTGCATCGTCAGCTGGGGCTGATCCATGTTCCTATTAATCCTGTAAGGCAATATGAACCATTACTGTGTGGCCAGCAATAGCACTGTATAGAGTGGAGTGACTGGATATCACCCAGACCTATGGTTGTGTTCCCTGTTCCACACTTGCAGTGAGGGTTACACCAGCATAACATTGTGCTGACAACATGGTCAGTGCTGCTCCCATATCTGCAAGGTGGTCCCTCCTTTCTGTACATACTTAATTGTTGAGGGAGGAATATTGTTGGGGCAATACTCAAAATGGATAGGGGGGTATGAGAAGGCAGTTGAAACAGCCATAGCTTTGGTCAGGGGCCCCCTCCCTTGCTTACCTGTGTGGGGCTCATTTTCTTTCCATCCCAGGTGAAGGAGTAGAGGCTCCTGTTAGGTGTTTTTGTTCTGAGGCAGAGTACCTGAGCAGAAAGTGTTAGACATATGTTCCAACAACGTTTGTTCTTTACATTGGATATTTGTGCAGATTGCTCCCTTTTCTTTTTTGTGTACAAAGTGTCCTTTCCCTGGAGTTCTTATGTAAGGATCTCCTTGTGTGTGTTTAACACAAGGCTAGACCTATACAATGCCCCTATTACATGAGCTATGGGTTTGCTGGATGAGGTTTATATAGTGCTTAGGAAGGCTGTTATGGACTGCAAACTAAATTGACATCCTAAACTGTGCCAGGGCTTGGAAGTATGGCAGGTAGCAGGGGGAGAATGCTTGTTCTTTCCCTCTGCATGTGGTATTTTTTAAAGCTGTGCAAAATTATTGCTGATATTGGGAGCATGACTGAAGCTAAGGAGATTTAGGATGCTGATTAAGTCCTAGTCTGCTTCTGTTACCGCTGAGCAGAAGTTATACTATCCTGGTGCCAGTGTGTGGCATTGGCAAGGCTTGGTGCTGGTAAATCTCCAGATATAGTAGGGTTTTTTTTTTTTTTTTAGATAGGATGGTATATCTTGAAGTTATGCCAGTGTTAAGTTTAGTCACCTTCCCAAGCCATTCAGAAACAGGGCTCAGGATATGAATATGTTAAGATCTAAATGATACATTTTATGTTGCTTATGTTATAAAATAAGTTTAGGATTGATGAGAAAGTAACCAATGTCCCCCCCCCCCCATTGTGTTCTATTAATGCTTTAGCTGGCAAAGAATAAAAAGATTTTTATAATACACACCTCTATCCTGTGACAAGATGAACCACAGGGGGGCTGCATCATGAAGTATATAAAGTTATTACCGTTATAGCATTATAGTATGCATCTATACATACATACCCTATGATCAAAGATGCAGGGGCCATACAGCAGGAACAAATATTGATTTCCATAATATAACCTCTGACTCTGGATACAACAGCTTATACATACTGAGAAATAGTAAATAGTTTATTGATAACAGAAACTCCTTGAGTTTTGAGGAGGATAAAACATTTCTGAACCAGATTGTTTCAAATTTTCCTTGCCATTGAAGATCTCCTTTTTTGTGAGGCTATACTATGAATCTAGCAAATCTAGATGTTTTGCATTAGCACGGCATCAGCATTAACAATCAAGAATACAGCATTAGCAAGATCAGGGGAGTCAGAGCATGAAAAAACAGGTTGCTTACCAGTAACTGGTGATCTTCGAGTGGTCATCTGTGCATTTACACCAATGGGATCTAGTGCGCATGCGCTGGATCTGCCGGTGCCGTAGCAAGCTCTCTCAAAAGGATTTTCGTGCCTGGCCCAACTGAGCATGCTCAGGAGCCCCAGTGAGCATGCCCAGAAGGGCAGGCACGGACATCCCGCCAGTTCCTACCAACCGCCGCATATCAATCTCCTAACAAAACAGGTAGAAGAAGACAGCAGCGGGGCAGGAGGGCGGGTGGTGTGAATGCACAGATGACCATTCGAAGGTCACCAGTTACTGGTAAGCAACCTGTTTATCTTCTTCGTGGTCTCTGTGCTTCACACTAATGGGAGATTAGTGAGCAGTAGCCTACCTGGAGGTGGGTGCTGTCAGGTGTTTACTGCTTAGCCAATAATAAAACCTGATGTCCCAGACTGTCATTGGTGGACTTGCGGACATCTAGGGTGTAGTGCCTGATGAAGGTATTAGGCGTGGCCCAGGTTGCGGCTCTGCAAATGTCTTGCGGCTGTACTCCCTTCAAGAATGCAGTGGATGTAGCGACAGCCCTGGTGGAATGAGCCCGCACCGGGCTTGGCAGCGGCTGCCTCACCAGTAGGTAGCAGAGTTCTATCAGACCTACTATCCACTTGGATAGATGTTGGGCAGTGATTGGAGTACCCAAACGAGGTGTAGCGTATGAGACAAACAGCTGTGACGTTTGTCTGGTGGAGCGTGTCCTATTCAGATAGAAGAGGAGGGCCCGCTTCACATCTAAATTATGCAGTAGTCTGTCTTCCTGTGATTTTGGGTCAGGATAAAAATCAGGGAGGAAGACTTCAGACTGCAGATGGAATTCAGAGACCACTTTGGGCAAAAATGAAATGTCCGGCACCAGGCGAACACCATCCGGGAGGAAGGATAAGTATGGTGAGTCATGCCGGAAAGCCAGGAATTCACCGACTCGCCAGGCCGAGGTGACTGTGAACCGAGGTGACTGCGACGAGGAATGCCATCTTCCACGCCAGGAGCTTCAGCTGACAGGTGGCGAGGGGTTCGAAGGGCCGTCTCGTCAGCTGGCGCAGGACCAAGGGAAGGTCCCATAAAGCTGTTGGAGCTTTGACTGGAGGGTATAAACGTAGCAAACCTTTCAGGAAACGTTTGGTAACCGGGTGCGAAAACAGAGTGCAACCATCAATATGAACGTGAAAGGCTGATAATGTGGCCAAGTAAACTCTTAACGAGGAGTGAGTAAGTCCCGAGTCAGCCAGGGATAGGATGAACGTAAAAACCTTATCGAGGCCAGCAGTTGTGGCTGTAAAGGTGTCAGTGTCCAAAAAGGAATGACTGACGTGTGGACGCTTTACGAGAGTTCATGAGGACCTCAATCACACGAGACGAGAACGCCGGGCCTGTATCCGCCACGCAGTCAGCTTGAGCTGCGGAAGGTTGTGGTGGAGCACAGGCGACTGAGACAGGTGGAGCAAGTCTGGAGACGGTGGGAATTGGTGATACATCCCAGCCGACAGTTCCAGGACCGTGGAGAACCACGGCTGCCTTGGCCACCAAGGCGCTATTAGAATGACATCTGCATTTTCCTCGAG